ATGCACAACACCAAATTCTCCTTATGGTGTCCTATCCCGTACATTCCCAACGTGCAATTGCCAAACGATAGGTCCTGCGGAAACAATAAAATATTTAGGGGTACTGGTTGACTATAACCTATCATTCAGTCCCCATATTACCGATTTGGCTGCTCGAGTTCGAAAACTAATTTATGTTTTCAAACTTATACGTAACAGTGCCAACATAAATATTCTCAAAATGTTATACTATGCAATGTGCCAGTCCATTGTGCAATACTGTATTACAGCATGGGGAGGTGCTGCAAAGACTCATATGTTAAAAATAGAAAGATCGCAACGAGCTTTGCTTAAGGTCATGCTTAAAAAACCAGTGCGATTCCCCACCAGAGAGGTCTTTAATTTGTCTCGTGTGCTATCTGTTCGCCAATTGTTCATCCTAAATGTTATAAAGAGATGTCATAAAAACGCTCCAAACCTGCCTAACTACCAACATATTTTTAAAAAAAGGGTATACAAAATACCCGTCCCTAACATTAAAACGTCTTTTGCTAGTCACCTACCACGTTTTCTACATCCATACACTTATAACAAAATATGTCGATACCATAACATCAGAAACCTCAACACCTCACAGGTCTGTCACAATATTAGAAATTGGCTAATGACGTTAACATATGAGGAAACTGAAGATCTAGTCAAATGCCATTAGAAGCGTACACACAAACACACACGCAAACACACACACACACACACACACACACACACACACACACACACACACACACACACACACACACACACACGCATAGTAAAATTATACTGCAGTATTATATTTACACTAGGAAATCATGTTATTCTTTTTCGTTAGACTGTGTACAATTCTTTAGATAACTTGCGCTCCCGGACCCCAAGATACAGGATTATCCTAGTTTGGGGTCCAATGGAAAATATTTGTTTATCTTGTCTTGAACATTGTTTAGATGATTAACTCACTGTTCTTACATTTGTTAAATCTATATGTCAATAAAAACATTTATAATTATTATTATTAGCAGAAACAGCTCAACTCTCGATATTTCAGCGCTCCCACTTCTGTAATACACTAGTAGTACACTTGATGTACTTTCATTATACCATAGAAAGGAACAATTTCTGCTGGAATTTCATTCGCGATTCTTTCAATATCATAATCAGTTCAAGGTTGACCTTAACTCTACTACTATCTTTCAGAGACTGATAGAACGAAGACGCTATCAGAATGTCTTTCCCAACAGCAACAAGCTGGTCAGCAGTCCGTTTTAGAAAGCCACCAACACCAACAGCTGCTCCTTTGCCGTGTCCCGACTCGAAAAAATTCCATGTAGGCTTGGTGAGGTTGTACTTTGAGAAAAGTTTTGTCCATATCAAGCAGAAGTTTTGATTCTGGCGGTACTGAGTAGCGGGTCATCTGAAAATATGTGTATCACTTTTATCTTAGGGGATTGGTCTTGAATTGAGGAAAGTATAGGATGAAGGTGACTCCAGATTGCCGAAGGGCCGTGAAAAAGGTTACCTGATACTGGACAAAAAGACTTCACCTCTATGTTTCGATTTTCCAAGCTTCGCTTATACAATACGCCAGTATGTAAGGATACCTGGTTACGAGTATCACGAAAGTGGTGTGATTGTATCACTTCATGGAACTTGCAATTGTAATTTTCGCTGAAATCTACGTGTAGTGCTATTTTTTCTTCTGTCAATCCATCTATACAAGATCTGTAGTTTCTATACTGAGTTGAGTCATGTCTTTTATTAAGCGTTTCTTTTTATGATATCTCTCTAAATCCTTCTTCTTAGTTTCCGCTACCTCTTCAGGGTTTTATTTGCACTTTTCTTTATAGCGCCGCTGCTTTTCAGCAGCGGTGAGAGACATAGCGAAGTACTATGTATTATCTAGAACAAATGATGTAATTTATTAGATAGCTATTATATAATATTGATTCCTACTAACATAGAAGCAGAGATACGAATACACAGACGCCAACGATGGCTTGTAACAGCTTAGTAATAACAACTCTGTTACCTCTCTACAACTCTGTTACCAGTAGCTAGTAACATAGTTGTGCAGTAACAGAATGGTAAATTTAACTTTAGTGATATTTCTTTTAGAAATGAAAGTTTATTATGTACAAAGAAAAGCATATTCGATATATCTTACACTAGAGCTACTTCAATAATATAAAACTATACGCAAATATCTGAATACTTACGCGAAAACACCGGTAACAGAGTACACACAGAATAAAACCACAAGCCTCACACCGCAGCCATCGGATAAATGAATCGTGTACCCGCGCCTCAACCGCCGCAAATCGTACTGATAGAACAGTAGATATTTATGATGAAACAATTGCCAAAGAATGGATAGCGCCATCTCTTGGTATTTATCCGGTTTACTATAGTAACAGAATGTAGCTCTAATATTTTGAAGACCTTGGGACAAAATTTAAAATAATCGTACAAGCTTCAATTAATTTATTTAATATGGATGAAGTATGTTTTTAAATGTGTTATGATTGCTTTATTACACTAGCTTTCAAACATAACAATTACATTGAATTGATAAAAAGATATTATGATTTTCGCATGATGCACTGCATATGGGACAGAATTTTTTTGTATGGAAAACAACTATGTTACCAAGAATGACCACTCTGTTACTTGATAAAAGTGGTGATAAATCAATAATAAAATTAATTTTTTTTGAGAATAAGCTTAGTAATTCGCCCCATATTTGACAAATTCAATAACATTATAACAATTTAATTAATATCACCGAGAAGAAAATATTTTTGCTCAGGGACGACTTTATCTGCAACCAATTTTAAATTGACCCCCTTACAAATACTTATTCTGTGCAGCATTCGAACCTGTGACCTTTAGTGCCGCAACTCAATGCTAGCCACTGCTCCGCGAGCTGTCAATGTTGTTTAAATGACATGATTATAATTTAGTTACTTACAGAATATATTTACAAATAAAAGAAATTGTTAAAATAGTGTCTTAAAAATAGGATGGTGGAATAGGATGGTGGTGGTAATGGTGTTAAAGCAACATTCATTAAAAAAAAACAAGTTGTATTTAATGTTTATAAATTTATAAGGCTGTTTGAAATTTAGAGATTGGTTGACCAATGCTGGGATACATGATATAAATAATGATTTGATAATCTCTAATTTTCAGATCACATTAGCTGACCTTAATTTGGAACAAAGGAATGTCATTCAACATATTGCAGGTCCATCAACTAATAAACAACCACTGTCTGAAAATATTCAGAAGACTATAACTGTTTCAAATGTATTTGAGCCTGTTGCGGGTCCGTCAAAATTTATACAACCCTTGTGTGAGAATGTAAATTATAAAACCATTCCTGACAAAACTAGTGATATTCCTCAAGTAACTTAGAATATCAACCCTGTTGCTGCTGCAAATCCATCCACGAAAAACAAAAAGGATAAAGATATGTTGATAAAAATGAAATATCATCTGAGAAAAATTAACAGGCTTCAAAAAACTGTAAAGCATCTAAAGAATGAAGCATTTCTCAAAGTATTGAGCAAAAATGATTCCGTAAATGAAATATTAAAATGTAAAATATCCCCCTCTTTTGCATTATTTTTGCAAGGAGAATTGCAAAACTATAAAAAAAATCAAAAGGTCGAAGATGGAACATGGACTCCAAAATAATAGCACTAAGACTGTATAAAAGGTCACCTAGGTGTTACAAATTATTAAGAAGGATGATTTGCCTGCCAACACCTAGTTCATTAAAAGCGTTATTAAGCAAGTTTCACATGAAAGTTGGTATTGATGACCAAATTTTTAATGTTTTGAAAAAAACAATAAAGCAACAGACTCCCTCAGACAATGAGTATATCCTTATGTTTGATGAGATGTCACTAAAAAAGAATTTGTTTTACAACAAAAAGGAGGACATAATTGAGGGTTATCAAGACCATGCACTGCAGGGCAGGTCACCACAAATGGCAACACATGCCCTCGTGTTCATGATTGGCGGAATCCGTAAAAAGCTGAAACAACCAATTGCTTATTATTTTTCTAGTGGATCTGTGACTGCAGATAGGCTGTCAGTTCTTATAAAGGAGGTGAGCATTATGGTCTTTTATTTGTTATTATGTCAATATAAGTAGTAGTACTTTTTTACCATATTCATTTACCCTTTTATCATTCTAGGTCCTGCAACATTGTTTTGATGCTGGAATTAATATTTCAGCTACAGTGTGTGATATGGATGGTGTGAATAAGAGAGCTTTAAGTATCTTGGGAGCATCTGTAGAACAGCTATATATTCTGCTAAATAATCGAGAAGTGGTTACCATTTTTGATACTCCGCATTTGCTCAAATGCTTTAGAAATATGTTTTTAAAATCTGACATTAAATGTCCAACAAATATAACATCAAATGATCAAATTGGATTTGGTAAGATATTTTGTTTTATTACAATCATAATATTATACATATTTCCAATTTACTGGATATTTACACAAATTTTTTTTACAGGTGTTGCTAAATGGAGCCATATAAAGGAGTTTTATGAAACAGATAACACCAATCCCAATTTTGTGTTTGCACCTTGCTTAAAACAAGAACATTTAAATCCAAATACGAAGCAGAAGATGAAGGTGAAGCTAGCTGCACAAGTGTTAAGCCACTCAGTTGCTGCAGGAATGTATGCTAAAATTTCACAAGATAAATTAAATTTATAATTTAAAGTATAATATTTAAACATATGTCCACCCATTAAAATAATTATTAACTTAAAAAGGAACTAGGCTCTCCCAAGTACAAATTATTGTTTATTGTGTGATACTGATATGTGATATTATTTTTGAGTTGTCTTGTAACATACTTTAAATCATGTTTCTTTAATCCTAATATTAAGATCTTAAATTATGTGTTGTTTACAGGGGAACTCTCTTCAGAGGCTGTCACTACAGCTAATGTTATTGCAAATATGGACAAGCTGTTTGATTGTGTCAACGCATGCACACCAGACCTAAGAAGGGGGAAACCATATTCGACAAACATGACAAATAATACACCACATCTCACACATTTCACTTTAATGAAGAATTTTTTTAAAGAAATGACGTTTTTGGGGTGCAAACGAGCTCCTCCATCCCAAGAAGGTTGGATATGGTCCATCAATGGAATAGAACGAATTTGGAGAAATCTCAGTTCTAAACATAAATCAATAAAAAGTTTGGAAACAAGAAGGCTCCAGCAGGACCCGTTAGAAAATCTTTTTGGATGCATTCGGGCCAATTGCGGCTGCAATTCAAATCCCACTGCTGGGCAGTTTGTTGCGGGTCTTAAAACGGCTGTCCTTAGCAACTTATCTTTTATTGGGACAGGAAATTGTGAAGAAGACCAAAATCAAGTTATATTGACAAATTTTAAATCTTTATTGTCTCCACCCACAGACACACACACTGCTTATGCTACAATTTTAACCGATGAGTTAGAAGAAAGTGTAAATTCTACATTTGAATGTAGCTTGGAAGAAAGCAGTGGCGAAATACAAGCATGTGCCTATGTCTGTGGGTTTATAGTAAAAAATAATCTCAACAAATGTGAAATTTGTAAAAAAAATTTTGTATCTGAGACACAAGAGAGATCACATACTTTTATTGACTTTAAAGAATATAGTGATCTAAAAAGTCCCTTAAATACGCCTCTAAAAACCTCATTAACTGTATTGAAAGTAGTGCTACGATGATTTATGATTTTTTAGAGGCAGAAGCATATAAAAAAAAATTAAAAGGGACAATTAAAGTTTTGTTCAAAAACTCAATAAATTGGGAGTTTCTCGATGAATGTTCAGAACATAAAGATATGAATATAGATTACTTATTTAATAGCGTATTTCACATTTGTATGAAGAGATTTTGTATTTTGAAAAATCGGCAATTTGCAGAAGAGTACTCTGCATCTGCTCTTAAAAGAAAAATTGATATCCTGCAGAATAAATAAGATATTACATGGAACTACTTTTTCTGTATGTACAGTCATAATCACTTCAGTGGTGACATTATATAAGGAGATAAAAGGAGAGGGAGGATTTGTCCTCTCGAGAGAGAGGCTGCCAAGGAGTGACTAGCGCTGATGAGGCTACGGATGTGTGTAAAAGTGTACCCGTAGTCCTGCCGATAAGTGGTGAAGATGAAACATCTGAGAGTTTTAGTCGGAGTGGGTCAGATATTCCTTGCTTCCGCGAGGCAGGTAGGATTTAAATTTAAGTTCTTTTTTTAAATATTTGCCATAAAGAGCCACTTTTGGATTTCGAATATAGTATTTTCGAAACTATCACTTTACTGGTGCGAATCATACCTTACAGTCTTTTTATCGTTTAATGTCGGATAGTTTATTAGTCACCCTACAAACAATCGTATTGCTATGCCACTAACTTTTAAGTTTACTGTGGGATATGGATAACACATACATTTGTATTTTTTATAGAATTTAGCAAGTAAATGCTGTGACACTTAGACATCTACCTGTATTATCGAAAAATAATAAATAATAACTACTTAACTATTAAATCGATATTTAGTTAAGAGCTGTTGAGAACTGTTTACATGCATAAAGTTAAAAATTAGTTAATTACATGTAACATCTTATTTATTCTGCAGGATATCAGTTTTTCTTTGAAGAGCAGATGCAGAGTACTCTTCTGCAAATTGCCGATTTTTCAAAATACAAAATCTCTTCATACAAATGTGAAATATGCTATTAAATAAGTAATCTATATTCATATCTTTATGTTCTGGACATTTATCGAGAAACTCCAAATTTATTGAGTTTTTGAACAAAACTTTAATTGTCCCTTTTAATTTTTTTTTATATGCCTCTGCCTCTAAAACATCATAAATCATCGTAGTACTACTTTCAATACAGTTAATGAGGTTTTTAGAGGCGTATTTAAGGGACTTTTTTAGATCATTATATTCTTTAAAGTCAATAAAAGTATGTGATCTCTCTTGTGCCTCAGATACTCAAAACATTAAAAATTTGGTCATTAATACCAACTTTCATATGAAACTTGCTTAATAACGCTTTTAATGAACTAGGTGTTGGCAGGCAAATCATCCTTCTTAATAATTTGTAACACCTAGGTGACCTTTTATACAGTCTTAGTGCTATTATTTTGGAGTCCATGTTCCATCTTCGACCTTTTGATTTTTTTTTATAGTTTTGCCATTCTCCTTGCAAAAATAATGCAAAAGAGGGGGATATTTTACACTTTAATATTTCATTTACGGAATCATTTTTGCTCAATACTTTGAGAAATGCTTCATTCTTTAGATGCTTTACAGTTTTTTGAAGCCTGTTAATTTTTCTCAGATGATATTTCATTTTTATCAACATATCTTTATCCTTTTTGTTTTTCGTGGATGGATTTGCAGCAGGTAGTGCTAATTAATGACATGAAAATGTTGACTTATTAGTTTTTAATGCAGTCAATAACAATAACATAACGAAAATAATTTCTACAAATGTAATATTATTGGTGGCATCTATAATATAATCAGGTTATTGGAGTTTAGACATAATATTGCAAAGCTATTGCCTTGTTTGTAGAATGTGAAGGAAAATAATGTTTTCTTGTTAGAAAAAAGTGTTTATATTAGATTGTCTAATCTTTTTTATATAAAACCAATGTACCTTTACTTTCCATTTTGCTTAAATGCCATGTTACATATGCCATGTTAAAAATTAGTTAATTACTCCGTCACTTACGTCCATCAATGTACCAACGGTTTTTCTATGTACCAATGTAGACAAGTATGTAATGTAAATAAAAATTATGTATTTCAAAAACCACTTTTATTTGAAAAATAGTTCCTTTTTTATATTAAAATGATTGCTAATCGTTTCAAAAGTGGTTTATGAATGTAAAGTACAATAATTTACAAATAACTTTGTGCTTTTGTTTTCGTTTTAATTTAGCAATATATATCATTGAAACGAAAAACTACAAGCTATATCTATCTATATGGTATTTTACATTCTTAAGCCATTTTTGAAACGAAACAACCAAGACGACAACTAAAAAAAAATCACGTGTCAAAATTCCCGCGCAAAAAGTTTTAGGGGGCACGACAGAGATGGCGTGCATTATGGATGCCATTTTCTTTGTTTGAAGTTGACATTCTTCCCGCCTAAGGGTATTAGTGTTCTGTGAGCGAGACTGAGTTTCTTGACCGATTGTTCGGCTTTTATACCTTTTTAGAGAGAACGGAAAATTATTTAAATTGAAAGCAAATTTTTTGTAAATGGCCAAGAGGAAAGAGTATTTATGTGGAATTATCGAAGTAGAAACAACAGACCGGTAGCGAATTTGAATAAAAATTGTCATGACAACCAGATAAACAACGATGTCAAAACATGTCAAATTTTGTTTTTAGGCTCGTAATAGAGAAACGGCAAGATTTAAGTGAAAAATGAGATATTATTTCTATAGGAAAAAAGGTAGCGCACCAGCGCGCAAATAGCCAGAAATTGCAGAGTTACGGAGAACTAAATAAAAGATCGAAAAAGGTAGGCTCCATCGACACCGATTTAAAAAGTGCTGAGAGCGTGAAAATATGAAGTGAAAATGATTTGTTATTGTGTTCTTATGGTTTAAAAACGTTACAGGATCCTATGGAAATAAAGGTGATACAAAATATCCAGTTTTGAGGTGAATGCAGAAAATCAAAACAGAATGGAAAAATGAATTTAAAATAGTGTAAAATGATATGTAAGTAGCTATTACAATAAATATATATATATATATATATATATATATATATATATATATATATATATATATATATATATATATATATATATATGTTAAGTAATTAAAACTGGTCTGTCTGCAATTATTGCAAAATTTTCATTATCATTATAGTTTTATTAAAGAGATTTTTATGTATGTCGTGGCCAGATCGGAGAATTGATAATATCTATATCATAAAGTAGTCTATCATTTCGTGAAATGGTGTGGTCATTTCATGATATTTAACACTATTTGTTGACCATGTCATGATATGGCTTGACCAAATCAATGAATAGAAATCGTTTGAAGATATTAATAACTAAACACAACGTTGCTATTTCATAATATGGTTATATGACAATATCATTTAATCATTTTTCACCGCTAGGAGGCTGATAGCATATTATTTAACAGAAACAGAACTTTTAAGAGAATTGACATCACTTTATTCCTTATTGATATAATAAATAAATGTTAGCTTCTGTTGCTGATATTACTAGATGGTATAGTTTTGGCTTTCATTATTTCATCTTATATTAGCGCCACCTATAGACTTCTAATTAAACTAAAATGGCAAGTCTTCGATAAAATGAAATAATACAATGCTACTAAACATACAATGTAAATAATTGGATCATTTACATTACATTCATCCCGCGTTGGAATCATTGCAGCGAAGACTTTTTGGTCAAAACTCTGCGGCCTGTGCCCAGTAGTAACATGTATGTAAGATACTACTTTTTTTCTTTTTTATATTATGCAGTTTTTATTTCATTCGCGTTTTCGGCTACCTTACTTTTTGTTTTCACTCTGGCGTAAATATTAAGGCTTGCAAAGATGAGTAGAACTCATTATCGTCAGCCTATCAAAAGTCCACTGAGATGAACATAGGCCTCCCCCATAAATTGTCAAGTAGCTGGATATTTGCTATAGTTGCCACGCTTGGTAGGCGGGTTGGCAACCGCAGCTATTATTATTTTGATATGTTGTCAAGAAGATGATGCAGCCCATCCCATCTCCAGTTTGTTTTCCTATGTCGCCTCTTACGACGGGTCGATATGAGGTGGTAATTTATAAGGAATAAAACTAATTTGAAGGATTTTATCGCGTTTAATTTTAACTTTTCAAATTATATATATATATATATATATATATATATATATATATATATATATATATATATATATATATATATATATATATATATATAATAGCTTCGCGAATCATCATTGGTAGGATTCGGTGTTCTATTGCAAGGATTTGTTGTCTATCAGATCCGATATAATGGTTGGGATGATACTAAACATGTTGACATACTTTAGACTTCCCGGAGCTTCGGTGCTTCACATCAACAATATGTTCTTTTACTCAGAACTTTCATCTAAAATGCGTAAAAAAATCCGTAACATTAGTTTTAATCGATGTGTAGTATTCATTATTATAGATCTCTATTTATGAAATTTTCAAGTCTATTTTCAAGTAAAAAAATATCTACATCGATTTTATGGTGCCAAGCAATATTAAATAGGACCAATGATATGAATAAAATGTCTCAAATAAACATTTTATTGTTTTGTTAAAACTAAATTAATTTTAACTATGAATAAATGTAAAGAGTAAAATGTTAATAATAAATATTACATTTTGATTTCAACTATTTACCTTTCTTATGGATACATCTGAATTCCGAAGACACGCCCGATATAAAAAATAGCAGGTGTTTCTAGACATATGTATAATATATTCACGTGTTTCTGTAGCATGTTACCAATCATCTACGTCTAATAGTATTTTAGAATGAAAAAATCTTTGACAGACATAGAGACATAGACACCGAGGTGACTAAAAGTGATCGATTTTTTCTAATTTGGCACGGAACAGCATTTAATGATGTTCCTAGATTCAAGCGCATGCGAGCGAAGCCGCGGGTAAAAAGCTACTCATAATCATAAATATATCTATAATATAAAAATGAATCGCTGAATGTGTTGCTAAGCGCAAATCTCCTAAGCGCAAATTTCATAATATTCCTTGAAGTATGAAGATGGTTCTTACGGAGAGAAAAATTTAAAAAATTGCCTGAAAAAGTCTAAAAACAACACTTTTCTATATTCCCATACAAAAGATTCGTAATAATACTTAAAAGTCAATTTGAACTTTAATACCATGCCATAAAGTTTAAGTATTAATGGAGGGGTTCCGGGAAGGC